TTCAGGAGAGTTGGCAGGTTTTTTTTTTAAAAGAGACACTAGTGAGGGAAGAAGAGCAAACTATTCCAATGCATAGGAAAGACAGGAAGTATGGTACGAGACCACCTTGGCTTAAGCAAATCTTCAATGATCTGAAGCCCAAAAAAGAGTCCTACAAAAAAGTGGAAACTCGGTCAAATTACAAAGGAAGAATATAAAAAAAAAACCCCACTGTTGAGGCAAAATTAGAAAGGCCAAGGCAAAGAAAAAAAAAGAGATTAAACTAGCTAGGGACATAAATGGTAACAAGAAAACATTTTACAAATAAGTGAGAAGCAAGAGGAAGACCAAGGGCAGGGTAGGCCCGTTACTCAATGAGGAAGGAAAGAGAGTAACAGAAAATGCAGCAATGGCCAAAGTGGCATTCATTGTTTCAGTTTTCGCTAAAAAAGTTAGCAGTAATTGGACGTCTAACATAACAAACATCAATGTAAATGGGGTAGGCTCTGAGGCTAAAATAGGAAACGAACAACTTAGACAAGTTGGATGCCTTTAAGTCTGCAGGGCCTGATATACATCCTAGAATACGTAAGGAAATGGCTGAAGAGATTTCGAGTCATTTGCAATCATCACTGAGAACATGTGGAGGATGGGAGAGATCCCAGAGGACTGCAAAAAGGGAAAATATAGTACCTATCTACACAAAGGAAAACAAGGACAATGCAGGGAATTATAGATTGTCAGTTTAACTTGCATATCTGGAAAGATAATTGAGCAAATAATCAAAAAATAAATGTATAAGCATCTAGAAGAAAATAAGGTGGTAAGTAAAAGTTAACACAGATTTATCAAGAACAAATCATGTCAAACCGACCTAAAATCCTTCTTTGACAGGATAAGAAGCCTTGTGAATGGGGGGAAGCAGTAGAGGAGATATATCTCAACTTTAGTAAAGTTGAGATATCAAGTGAGGTCCCACGATGATCAGTCCTGGGCCTGATTTTATTCAGGACAGGATTAGAACTTGATCTTGACAAACTGGAAAAAATGTATGAAATAAGCAGGATGAAATTCAATGATAATTGCACAGCACGACACTTAGGAAGAGATAATCAATTGCACAAATACAACATGGGAAATGACTGCCTAGGAGGAAGAAAAGGAGTACTTGTGGCACCTTAGAGACTAACCAATTTATTTGAGCATGAGCTTTCGTGAGCTACAGCTCACTTCATCGGATGCATACCGTGGAAACTGCAGCAGACTTTATATATACAGAGAATATGAAACAATACCTCCTCCCACCCCACTGTCCTGCTGGTAATAGCTTATCTAAAGTGATCATCAGGTTGGGCCATTTCCAGCACAAATCCAGGTTCTCTCACCCTCCACCCCCCCACACAAATTCACTTTCCTGCTGGTGATAGCCCATCCAAAGTGACAACCCCCTCACCCCCCTCCCAAAAACCACACACACAAACTCACTATCCTGCTGGTAATAGCTCAAATTGGATGAGCTATTACCAGCAGGATAGTGAGTTTGTGTGTGTGGTTTTTGGGAGGGGGGTGAGAGAACCTGGATTTGTGCAGGAAATGGCCCAACTTGATTATCATGCACATTGTGTAAAGAGTTGTCACTTTGGATGGGCTATCACCAGCAGGAGAGTGAATTTGTGTGGGGGGGTGGAGGGTGAGAGAACCTGGATTTGTGCTGGAAATGGCCCAACCTGATGATCACTTTAGATAAGCTATTACCAGCAGGACAGTGGGGTGGGAGGAGGTATTGTTTCATATTCTCTGTATATATAAAGTCTGCTGCAGTTTCCACGGTATGCATCCGATGAAGTGAGCTGTAGCTCACGAAAGCTCATGCTCAAATAAATTGGTTAGTCTCTAAGGTGCCACAAGTACTCCTTTTCTTTTTGCGAATATAGACTAACACGGCTGTTACTCTGAAACCTGCCTAGGAGGAGTATTGCAGAAAAGGATTTGGGGCTTATAATGGATCACAGATTAAATATGAGTCAACAGTGTAATATTGTTGCAAACAAAGCAAAGATCATTTTGGGATGTACTAGTTGGAATGTTGTAAGCAAGGCAAGAGAAATAATTCTTCCATTCTACTCGGCACCAATAAGCCCTCAGCTGAAGTATCGTGTCCAGTTCTGGGAGCCACACTTTCGGAAAGACGTGGACAAATTGGAGAAAGTCTAGAGGAGAGCAACAAAAATGATTAAAGCTCTAGAAAACATGACCTATGAAGAAAGATTGAAAAAAGCGTGTTTGTTTAGTCTCGAGAAGAAAAGACTGTGAGGAGACATGATAACAGTTTTCAGGTATGTAAAAGGTTGCTATAAAGAAGGTGACAAATTGTTCTCATTAACCACTGAGGACAGGACAAGAAGTAATGGGCTTAAATTGCAGCATGGGAGATTTATGTTAGACATTAGGAAAAACTTCCTAACTGTAAGGGTAGTTAAGCACTTGAACAAATTAATTAGGGAGGCTGTGGAATCTCTGTCATTGGAGGTTTTTAAGAACAGGTTAGACAAACACCTGTCAGGGATGGTCTAGATAATACTTAGTCCTGCCTCACTGCTGAGGACTGAGCTACATGGCCTATTGAGGTCCCTTCCAGTTCTACACAATGTTCCCTCTAATTCTTCCCATCCATGTGTGGAATGAATTTCGCTATGTGCACCAATATGGAGGTGATGTGTGGCAGGGGTGGGGATGAGGGGTTTGGAGTGTGGGAGGGGGTTCAGGGCTAGGGCAGAGTGTTGGGGTGCAGGAGGTGAGGGGTCTGGTTGCGGGTGCAGGCTCTGGGGTAGGGCCAGGGATGAGGGTTTCAGGGTGCAGGAGGGGGCTCAGGGCTGGGGCAGAGGATTGGGGTGTGTGGGGGGATGAGAGCTCTGGCTGGGGGTGCAGGCTGCCCTGGGGCTGCGGCAGGGAGAGAGAGGACTCCCCCAAGCTCTCTTTCCGTGCAGCAGCACCTAGGCTGGGGGAGAACGTCTCTCCATGCCGCAGCAGCACCTGGGCTGCGAGAGAGGCACCTTTCCCCACCACAGCAGCTCCAGGGCTGGGGCTGGGGCTGGGGGACGAGGCGCTTCTCCCCGCCACTGTGGTTCCAGGGCTGGGGGAAAGGCACCTCTCCCCCCACAGCCCCTGGGCTGGGGGAGGCGTCTCTCTCCACCACAGCCCCGGAGCTTGGAGGGAGAGGCATCTCCCCTTGCTGCGCTGCAGCCTTGGGGCTGCGGGAATTAGGTGCATGGCCCTTGGTGGCCTCCTGCGTCGCCGCACAGGTGTGCGCCTTAGAGGGAACTTAGGTCCTACATTTCTATGATTCTTTCCTCCTTTTTCATAATACTTCTCTTCGGGGTTTTTTTTTTTGGTCATGTAAAATATTAACAGGTTTCTTAAGGATGGAAGCAACGCTTTTATAATCAGAGGTATACCTGCTCCAGAGGAAGTTATTGGTCCTAAAATATAAAAGAAACTATATACTTTCCTAAATGAGATGTTCTTCATTACAAACTTGCTTTTGTCTTGTGTTATAGTTACAGTAATGGTGAAAAAATCAATTAGTGATGAATAAAGTACAGACTGGCCAAAAACTAAGTAAGAACAACTCAGATCAGTCTTCTAGATTCTCTTTGGTAGTTTAGAGCCCTGCTGACTTCAGCAAGCTATTTTTAAGAATGCACATATCCATTAGCATGTGACCAAGAGAAAATCAGTTGTCACTAGGCCTCAATCATAAAGTTTGGATCCAGAGCTGAACCTCCTCAAAGCTTAGTGCTATTCATTGATGGGGTACTGGTTCAGCACATTTCAGAGATAAGGGCGACAGCCGGTTACCAATTTTCTGTCAAAACCTTTTTGATGCAAAATAGCTTTTTCTACAAAATGAACTTTTTTTGGGGGGAAAACATGCATGTCAAAAATGTGAAGGTAGTCACTGAAAAAACAAAAGGTGAAATATTTTGGTTTTTGATGGTCAAAAAGCCAAAACTTTCTGTTTGACAAAAATCTGAAAATTTTTGAAAAACATATTTTCATTGAAATTGTTAATTGGGAGAGGGTGGGAATTTCTGACTAGCGCAATAGGGACCAGCTATGTGTATTAAGATCCAGATTTGAATGTGAAAGTGTGCAGTTCTAGAACTTTGGTTTGAGCCCATCTCCAATTGCTACCTACGGAAAAAAAGTGTGTTTTTGAAGTACAAAGACTACATAATGTGTACTAGTTCATTTACTACTGGGTGGCGAATGAGAATGTTTTGCAGCTCATTAGAAAATAAAGCTCTGTTTCATATGCTATGAAATTTGTGTCCTAATTTTTTTTCCCAAAAATCATTTGGCATGTAGCCAAAGTACCTCAATGGGAATCTATTTTAGAGAATATTAACATGATTTTAGATGAAAGTTTTCTGTCTTACGTACTAAGTTTGAACTTACGAGTGGTTCTAAAACTTACATAGGGAGACAAATTCGCTACTATTGTAAATGGGTGAAACATCACCAAGATCAGTGGAGCTGTGTCCATTTACACCATCTTTTTCCTACCATATGTTACTGTAAAGTTGCATAAGTATCCTACATTCATTTAAAAAAAAAAGTTTTTTAAAATGATTTACATATTTGTCATCTATCTACCCAAGACAAGAAAAGATGATTTAGTAAACTGGGCTACCAAAAATTGAATAATGCATAACATTGCTTCAGAATATTGCACCACATTATAAACATTTTACAGTTGTAACTTGTTCATCTGTATTTATATAAATCAGTAGCATGTACCGCATCAAAAGATCAATATAATTTTCATGTACCTTTGTATACACGCCATTCTGGTTTATAAAGCTGTATTAAGTGCAGGAGGGAAAACTATCCTTTATAGTTAGACTTTAAAAGTAATAAATAAAGCATTTACCAGAGTCAATTAAATGTGTGAAGAGAACTGGACAAGTATATTAAATACGTGTACTTGCTTGAAATAAGAGAGAATGCTTTCCACTTAATCAAAGTGCCAGAATAGTGTATATTATTTTAAATATCACAATGTTGCTGATAATACACAGAGATAGGCAAGGCTGCATTCATTACAGCCTGTTTTTAATTAAAGAAATGAACAATTCTCAAACATGTATTTCAAACTTTTTTGCATAATCTTGTATGAAAACATTTGTGTGCACTGCTCTTACATTCAATTATGAAAAAAATATATACTTGGTATACTTGAATTGCACAGCAGCATTTCCAAAGATCTGTGTAATCTAGTCAGTAAAATCTCACCAATCTCATTTAATCTTCTGCAGTGTCAAACTTCTTCAGCATAATAATTCCGCAAGTATACAAATGCTGTAGAAATAACGCTTCAAGGAAAACTGATAAACATTTACATAAATACAAAATATACAGCAAAGTTAAAATCTCATTAAATAAAATATATAGATTAGCTGATTGTCTCAAACCATTAGCTAACATCTTATTTTAAAGGGTAAACTTTGGGGAACTTTTCTGCACTGATATATGGAAGATTTACAAAGCAGTAATGGGAGCTGAGTGAATATTACCCATGCACATCAGTAGAAAAGAATTCCCCTCCCCATACTGTTGCTGACAATGAGAATTGAGCATACAACCTTCCATGGATAATGCTGAATAGTGGGCCAGACCCATCTCTGAAACTCTAGAAGTGAGTTTGACCCAGTGTGTCACATCACTGCTAATTTCACTAGTATTCAGAGTAACAACACCAGCCATAGCAATTTTCTATGATACTATTGTGGTGGTCACATATACCTCCACAAGAATTTTTCTTCATTCTGGTAATCAGTGTACCATTAAAATAAAGTGTTGCCAAAATACCCCACATTGTTTAAAATAGTTAGATATGAAAATAGTCTAGTTTATCTTAAATTTATCCCCTGAAAGTAAATGATTTTTTTTTAAATAATGTGTCCCCACTTTAAACCAGCTATTTTAATCCTAACAGTTTTGGAATGAATGATAAGTGCATCTAAGTTACATTAGCAAAGAGGTATACCACCATCTAAGACTACAGCAGAATTGTATCTCTGATGTTTACTCTTGGTCCAGGCGTATATTGACTGTAGCAAAGCATCGACCTAGGCTCTGAAATAACGGTGCAATAAGAACATCCGTCACACTCTTCCATACAGTCTCCACTGAAGGCAAGACCATGAGGCAGGTCTTTACAAAAGGCATCACAATCCTAGAAAGGAGAAGATTTGAGGATTACTACTACTATAGAACAATGGATTTGCCAGTCAATCCTTGGTTACGTTTATTAACGACAACGGAATCTTATTTAACCAAAAAGGTTTCAGAGACATTTAAAACCTTCAGAAAAATAGAATTTGGCTATGTTGTGAAGCAACATATGGTGTACACTCTGCAAAAGGGATGTGACCTAGCTTCATTTATCCAGGCATTTCAGTAAGCTAGAAGTCATTTAAAAGGGTGTTCAGTGTAGATAAAAAACAAACATAGAAATGATTTATGTAACGTTGACCTGTGATTTTAAAGTGGTTTTCTAAAAGGCTGTGCCATAGAGCAATACTAAATGTTTGTCTGCTTGGGTTCTCAGCCATTATCAAATCAATTCCAACAATGCAAACAGTATACTAATATGTCTATGTTGCACTCTCAGCTAACCCAGATGGATTTGAACAAGAATAGTTCTTCTAAAACCTTCCCTTTCTTTGTCTCTGCTGAAACAGCATGTAACGTAGATACCATATAGAACTGTGAATGCTACTGGAATAATATGCATGTAGTATAAGAGGGTATGCTACACTCAAAAGTGGGGCTATGGTTATGTACAGTTCAACTGTGTATACAATTTATTATGACTATAGCATATAGTGTGTTGCATGTCATTTGATAGATAAACTGTGCCTCCTCTTCTGTTCACTAATTTTCCGTGAGTAGCTAATGATTTTCTCTACATTATTATCTGATGACATTATTTGCTGAATAATCTAGTGCAATTTAAACCTCCACCCCAAACCCTATGGGGGAAGCTGCATCAGGAGTGGGGTAGGGGGAGGAGGAAATCACCCCTAATGGACAGGTAGTGGAAAAGCTGCAATCGTTGGGAAGAACCACTGGTAAGGGCAGCAGTAATAGTAACAGAATCTGTCCTTTGGGGAGATTTCTTACAACTGCCCCCCACAGGTATTCTGGAAGAATCCTCTTCTTGGCTGACCGCTCCTATTTTCTGGGGCACACAGGATTGCTCCAGGCTCTACAGTGGAGTAGGCTGCAGGTAGTTTGAGCCCCTCAAACTCCACTCAGAGCAGTGGATATGTCCACATTGCATCTGAGAGGAAGTCTCCCAGTCTGGGTCCACAGACTTGCACTTGTGCTCTCAAAATTGCTGTGCAGATGGTGCGTCAATGTTATGGCTGGGGGAGGAGCTTGGGCTCCCAAGCCCCCTCCAGCCAAAGCTGCAACATCTACCCAGTTATTTTTACAATGCTAGCATGAGCCCCGCAAGTAAGAGTTTGCTCCGAGATGCAGTGTAGACATGCCTCGTGGGAACACACAGCCATGGTTCCCTGCAGTAAATCAAACCCATCGGCTTAGAATATAATCAAGGTGATAGTGAAGACTCATAACAGAGGTGTTGATAAGACTTAGCAGGGAGTCACAAGAATACTCCCTGCTGCCCAATGGGGAACGTAATATGTGAACCAACAGACTAGAACCTCAACGATCCACTCCCTACAAACAGGTTGGTGGGGTGGGGAAGGCAAAAAGAGAAACAACATCTCTTCCTTTTCGTTCCCTGCAGCCAAGAAGTGGGTAGACGGCGTGAGGGAGGACAGACAACTCTCACATTGAGACAACACAATGTCAGGACAGTTGTTCAGTGGCTCTCTGATTCCATTCATTCAGTAAGGATGTGGCTTTTCAGCGCTTATGATTTTGTGGTTATCAAGGTTGAGTACCACAGCTATAAGCCATAAAAGAGAAATGTTAAAGGTGACAGATGTCCACTTCTTTGCATCTTGATCATTGACTGTACACCATAGCAAGTGATGGATGGAAATTCAGGCCATGAGGCTGTGAAACAGAATAATGCCAAGCACCTGCAGCTCCAAATGAGGTCAAGGCATGAAGCTTGCTGGGTCTTGGAAATCTCTACATGGGCAGAGGGGAACTTTGCTTTGCAACCTGGGAGAGGAAATCCGTACATGCTACACTAGCATGGAGGTTCCTCAAAGGAGTTGCAAGTCCTCAGCTTTTCTCAGGGTTAAGACCTTAATGAACAAACACCGGGACATTTTTAGAAAAAAAGCATAGGGCCAAATTCTGCCATGAGTTACACATGAGTTACACTTCAAAGTGGTTGCACACATGTAACTCGGAACAATATTTCATCCCTGATCTACAGCAAGGGTCAGAATTCTGAGTTTATCACTTGGAACGCTGGTATTGAAACAGCACAACCTAACCATAAAGCAAACCACTTCAATAAAAAATTCCAGCGCCAGTTTAAGGATATTTTTTAAAGTTTATTCAGGATATTCACAGGGAGCTTCTAACAGTTGGTGTGACAAGTTTTTCCACAATTCACAGTCTGTAGCATGAGAGAAATAAATCACTACAGGCAAAGGAATGCAGAGAAGTAACCTTGCTCCAAGGAGCTCCTATACAGGTCACTAAACCGTTGGCTGGCATTGGCCCAGTTTCAGATTGTCTCATTCTTACCAGATAGCGTAACTATGGAGACTGGCTTAAGGCAGCCAGGGTGGGGGGGTGCGTCCAGAATGGGTTTCATTTATTTTCCTATTAAAAAGTAAGTGTAAATCAAATCACAATGTTGGTATTTTTCTCATTTAATTTTCTTTCTCCTTCCCACTCCCATTACATAATGTATAATATGCTGCGTCTTTCTTTAAAGTTATCCCAGCTACTGAGAACTAAAATCTGCTCTCAGATCTGGGGTGCACAACTGCTGCTGAAATCCTGGGGAGTTCTAGGTGAGTGAGGAATGCCAGGTCAGGCCTGGCCTATGTGGATTTTTAGCATGCCAATATAGTTACAACAACAGTACTTTGCATGTTTATAGTACTTTCTATCTGAGGACTTCAAAGTGTTTTGCAAACAGCATGGAATTTAGCCTCAGAAAAGACCTCTCAGTATAACAGGCTCAGTTTCATAGATAAAGAAACTGAGGCATAGAGGCTCTGATAGCCCCTCCTGCAGCCAGTTACATGGGAGGGAGAACTCACAATCTGTTAGTGGAGTTTTCCTGGAATTCCCCTCCTCCCACCCACAAAACAAGCAGCAGGTATGTTCCTAAGCCCAGTGGGATTCCAAAAGAAGCCAGTACTATCTGTTTGGAAACCCTATGCCTCCACTCCATGCCAGCTCTGGGGTCTCTTGTCCCATTACCAGATCCTAGAAGCACAGCTCTGTTCAAATCCATGGTCCCAGGGAATGTGGAATGGGCAGACAGTGCTGCACAGAAGTTAACAAAGACTCAAGCTTCACTAACTTTGCATTGAAGTTAGTGTGGGAAAATTGGATTTCGCTGGTCTTTGTCACCTACTAGAATTGGATCCTGACTAGGGTAGGGATGGAGCCAGAGGTAGCTAACTCTTTTACACCTCACTCAGGGCATCACAGGAGATCAGAATGAAAGTTCTCCTCTGTACTTTTTTAGTCGGGGAAATAATTAGGCCCAGAGACAGACTGAGGCCAAAATCCTCAAAATTGGGTGCTTATGGTTGGACACCTCTATCTCAGAAGTGCTGAGCCACTGCAGCTCCTGTTAAAGTCAATGGGGATTACTCACATGAGTTGGATTTGGCACTGTAACTGATTTTCAGAGACCTAATTCATGTCTGCATTCTGTTGCATGGAAATCTATACAAGAGGTGCTTCTGTGGCACAGAAGCCTAGAACAGTCTTAATGAATTGGGGCTTATTAAATTAGACTGCAACATCTTTAGATGTTTAAAGAGCTCGAAAGGTCTGACTGTTAAAACTCCAGCTATCCATTCCTGAAAGCAAGTTCTGACAATGAAAATCTTGTCTAAAACTAGTACTTAAAGAAAATCTTGGTTTGTGGGCATGGTCCTGGGCACGTGGTCATCCTACTCCTTTTACCTACCTTGGCAGCCAGATGGATTCCCAGCTTCCCCTTATGTAGCCCTTTCATCTCCAGCCCCCATTCATCTCCACAATCTAGCTGCCTCTCTGTTCTGAAGATTCTCCAAACCATTGCCAAAAATGTACCAAAGTACATCAGCTTCCTTGTGAGCTTCTAGAGCTACTGTGTCCTCCTGTGGAACTTGGCATGTGGCCAGAATCAGTCTGCGCTCAGCAGGGGGTCCCTGTCCTGGAGGTGCCCAGGGTACATTGCATTGCACGTTGTTATGACCATGCCTCACGTTCAAAGGCAGAGGCAGCAGCTTTAGTGGCAATAGCAAAGGTGGCATGGGAAAGGAGGAGTAGCTGGCTCAACTGAGGAAGACTGAGTACGTAGGGGACTGGGTGTCAAACTGATGAGAAAAAGTTGCAATGGGAGGGAGGGAAGGAAACATGGCCCTCCTAGCCAGCTGGCACTATACCTCTGCCAAGCCCTTATATTAAATACACACGATTAAGCAATCTGCATAGTCCAATAAACTAAATCATCATCATCATTATTTGTATCACAGTAGCATCTAGAGGCCCTACCCAAGATTGGGGCCCAATTGTGCTAAGCACTGCACAAATCCAAAGTAAGAAAAAGTCCCTGTCCCAAGGAGCTTACAAACTAAATAAACAAGACAGATCCAGGGTAGAAGAAATTTTACAGATGAGGAACCCAGGCACAGAAAGCTCATTGTCGTCCCTTTAAAAACACAGCAAATACTCAAATTGGCCTGAATTTACTAGCTGTAGAAGGGCCTATCGCTAGTTAGGATCTATGGCAACATCATAAGAATTGTTCACTCTCCCTTGTGCACAGAGACTGAATTTATAGTGGCACTTCTTTACTGTATATGGATATTCATGTTTCAGGAGGAAGACAACTGAAGTGGAAGGCAATAAATTTACTCACCAGATATGCAGACAGCTAAGTACTGCAAAGACAATTCCTGCAACCAGAGCCAGTGGGATGGCAAGGAATAGAGTCAGGAGCTTGTACAGCACGTATTTGCTGAGCTCAAAGAGAGCGTGGCTGCAGATCCAAACTTTGTCAAAGGAGTGAGATGATGCAGGCTCTGCTATGACATCCTCAAACCCCAGCTAGAATGACAAAGAAAACACCCCCACCGCCAAATCAGCTTCTGTCTCCAACGGCAATGGCAATGATACAACGCTGGGGATGAAGAGGGAACTACACTGGAGCTTTGGCTGCTGATGCGTTGCACTCGGATTTGTTAAATACCCCTGTCCCCAGGCTTTACAGCGCAGAGTGACTTTTGGCTAGAGGCCCCTGCAGAACACCAGGGAAGCTCGGATGGTGACAATTCAGTTCAGCCTGACTGGCACAGGTGTCCGGGCAGGCCGGGGGATCGGGCAGAGAGACCCCGCGATTTTTGTATTGCCCAGTTTCAAACAACAGCGCGTGTGTTAAAACATATGGTCAGGCGCCCAGAACGGCCCGGGCTCTTGGGGGGGGGGGAGGGAGGGAAGGAGATGCCCGAGGCCGGCCACGGGGGCTGCAGAGCGGCGGCTAAGGGGGAACGCAGCCCCCTGCTTTGCAAGGAGCCAGCGGCCAGGAGGCGAGCAGAGAGCGGAGCGCAGGAGGCCGCCAATGGGGCCCTAACCCCCCCCCTCACCTTCAGGTGGGTGTTCAGCCCGCGCGGGTCTCTGCACGGGCCGTTCTCCGCCCGCTTCTCCGGGCCGGCTGGCGCGGGGCCGCCGGAGCGCCCGAAGCTGTCCTCGGCCATGAAGATCTTCGTGTCTCCCGTCTCCTTCTCCAGCCCCATGGCGGCTCCGCTGATGCGCTGCCTCCGGCTGGGCTCCGCGCCGCCTGGGCTTGGGTGGAGCCCCGCCCCGGAGAGCGCCGCGCCGCGCCCGCCGGGGGCTGCCCTCTCGCTCCCGCGCACGCCCCGCCCCGCGAGCGAGCCCCGCCGAGCCTGGGGGAGAAGGAGGGGAACGGGAGGCGAGGCGAGCGGGCGGGGCTGGGTTCCCGCGCTATCTGCCCGGGCCCCGGCACGTGTTCGGTGCCGGGACAGGCTTCTGGGGCAGCGGGAGCGTCCTGCGCTTCGGTCCAGAGCCAGATCGGCGGCCCGTCTCCTTGTGCGCCCGACCTCGGCAGGTGCCGCCACCGATACAGTGCACATCCCCACGTGAGCCGTCATTGGAGCCTCAGCATTTAAGAACATAAAAATGAACTGCCAGCCTGGCTCAGACCAATAGTCCGTCTAGCCCAGTGGGGGGCAGCCCTTGGCCCATGAGGGTAATCCACTAGTGGGCCGCCAGACAGTTTGGTTACATCCGCAGCTCCCGGTGGCCGCGGTTCGCCGTTCCTGGCCCATGGGAGCTGCGAGAAGTGGCGGCAGCCGCCGCTTCCTGAAGCTCCCATTGGCCGGGAACAGCGAAGCGCCGCCACGCGGGCTGTAGGGGGCTGTGCAAATGTAAACAGTCTGGCGGTCTGCCAGCGGATTATCCAGGTTGCCCACCACTGATCTAGCCAGTATCCTGTCTTCTGACAGAGGCTGATGCCAGAAGAACAGGGTAACTGTTGAGTGATCCATCCCTTGCCTTCCAGTCACAGCATCTGACAGTCAGCGGTTTTGGGACCCCTAGAACATGGGGATGCATTCCTTGACAGTCGTCACTAATAGCTATTGCTGGACCAATTCTCCATTAATTTATCTAATTCTTTTTTGAACCCAGTTATAGTTTTGGCCTGCACAACATCCCCTGGCAGTGAGTTCCACAGGTTGGCTGTGTGTTGTGTGAATACTTCCTTTTGTTTGTTTTAAACTCCCCGCCTATTAATTTCATGAGGTGACCCCTTCCAGCTGCATCGAATGAGCAATAGCTGGAAGCCTTGAACAGTTCTGACATTCATAGTAATATCGGGTTTAGATAAAATGTCGCCTAAAACAATGACTTTAGTTTGATGTTAGTTGTATGGTTAGGTGGGCAGAAAACCTCCACTTTATTCCCTTATTTCCAATCCATGTATAGAGCTTTTTTATTTTTCATTTTTGTGGTGGGTCAAATATTACCTTTCTGGTCTTAAAGGAGATAATGAATGGAACATAATGGAATGGTATGACATTACTAAGTTATTTCATGGAAACTTCACACATAAAGCAAATCATTTTGATTGCTGTTCTTCATCCTCAGATAATGGCAGTAAAGGCTGTAAATTGATGATTTTCTTGTATATGTCTTTCAATACAGTGATTTAGCTGTTGATCAATTACCATATAGTACTGGATCCCAAATACAAGTTTACAATGTGCTAGATTGTGAGTTTGGAGAAAACAGTGTGCCTCAAGCCACTCTTCTGAGCAACAGTTCCTCTTCCTGATTCCTCTTGCTTGAGTGTGTGAAATTGTGATTTGTTGCTGGCCTGTACCAACATTAAACTACTCCTTCCCTTCCTCCATGCTGGCCTGGCTCAGGTGAACTAGCCAGCAAAATGTGTGTGTTCATTGGCATGTGAGAGAGGAGGGAGTAAAGCCTATTTCCCCAGCTCTCCTCACCAATCAACTCTGCCTCAGGAACAGTGGGTATGTAGCCACTCCTACCCAGAACTAAATTCTGGATAGCCTATGTAGAGACATGTAGTCCAAGTCACAATGCAGTCCAATAAAATAAAGTAAACAAAAAACTCTAATAATCTTTTATGTTAACCTCCGTCAATTTAAAAAAATTGTTAGAGCACAATTTGATAACTCATGTGCTTCTGAATTAGGCATAATTCCAGTAATATCCTTCACTAATATCAAATTGCAGATTAGTTTTATTTTGCTTTTTTCAAACTTCTGATGTCTATTGAGGAAGCGATATGTATAATGCAGAGCTTGCTCACATTTCCTTTTATGATCTCTTTCTTTGAGGATGATAGGCAGTAGAGTGGTAATTCAACTATAAACATAGGACTGGAAGGGACCTCCTGTTTCTTTGAGTGCACAGACCTGCTATCACAGGCAACCCCACCATATAGTGGTCATAAACTTATCAAGCTCCGTCTTAAAATCAGTTAGGTTTCTTGCCCCCACTACACCTGTTGAAAGCCTGTTCCAGAACCTCACTCCTATGATTGTTAGATATCTTCTGATTTCCAGACTAAATTTATTCATGGCCAGTTTATTCCCATTTGTTCTTGTGCCCACTTTGTCCTTTTGCTTAAATAACTCAGTTCCCTCCCTGGTGTTTGTAGAATGCAGTCATATTCCCTTATAGCTTTTGTTTTGCTTCGAAGAGATATTTGACATCAAAAGCCAACATACAAATGAATGAAAGCCAGGGCATGTTTTCAGATATAATGGTCATGTGTCCATTTGACAATGCCATTCTGAGTAATCCTGGCAGTCATTTTGGAAAGAATTTGAACATGAATGAACAAAGTAGTTGCTGATGGCAGAGTCTAAATAGAAACTTGCTTTCTCTCCTGTCCTGATCTTTGACTTGGTAGGCCCATGCCTTATGCCTCTCTGATAGGTGCTGTACAAACCCAAAACACAAGCCAAGAGAAAATAGATGGTTATAGATAGATGGATGGGGACGTATAAGGAAAGAATGAGGCAATATTGGTCAGCATGATAGTCAGTGGTCTCAGTGCACTGTTTTTTTGTAGGAATCATAGCAAAAGAGAGTTTCAAGGATGGACTGTAAGAAGGATAAGGAGGAGGCACCTTTGCTTATGTTTATGGGGCTGTCCTTCCCAGCTTGAGAGGCAGCACAAGAAAAAGCATCTACCAGTTCCAGTAAACAGACTTTTGGAGAGGGGCAGATCTCTGTATTCAGAAGTAGGGGGGAAAAACATCTATGCATATATTGCTGCAATAATGTTGTAATTTGTATCAAGAAAAAATGATGTGGCCCAGATTAGCTGTTGGTTAGTGATATCTCGAGTACGTACTGTGGTTCACTAAACTTGTATGTAGACGTTCTGATGATGAATAAGATCTGTTTAAGATTTTGTCCTGAAAAATCAAAGATGAGTTATATGTTTGCTGATGATCTACTAATATATTTCTTCCCACTCTTAGCTTATCTTACCCCTTCTCTTGCATTACTAGTGACAATAGATATAACAAAAACCGAAGTCAATCAAGAGTAAAACAGCATTTGCAAAAGGTGTCCTTTCCCCCTAAGTTTCTTAATAAAATCCTCTAATACGCACTATGTCCAAGACCCTGTTCCCAAGCCCTATCACAAACCACTGGAGGCTCTTGTGCTTAAACGAAAGAAAACTCCATTCTCAGACTGGCCTCATTTATTGGGTTTAGACAATACAAAAAACAAAAGGCAGTAAGCCTCAGAAGTCCTGTGCAGTGCTTCTGGACTGGCTGCTTAAACAAACCAAAGTATAGACAACAGATAAACAAACCAGGGCTTAATACTCAAGTCTACACAACTAGACTCCCTAAGCTTCCTGAGGGAAATGGAAGCAGGTTTCTTTAGCTGACCCTCCCTGGAGAATTTCCTCTCTTTATAAGTCCCTCTGTTAGGAATGCAACACACTCACCTTTATTTAATCAAGCTCATAAAGGGTCAGATGTCCTTTTCTCAACTCTCCAGAGCTACACGAGGAAATCTTCTGGTGGCTAGATTCCCCTGGAGTCCTACTGACCTAATGTCTAGGCTGATGTTGCTTCCTTTTATTAGAGAAACTGGGCAAGGGTTGTATCAAGAGATTCAGGACTGCTATACCTTATGTTGGGGGCCTGCTGGATCTGTATTGCTTGTCACAGAGACATTTGTTTTTCTTACATGTGGCCTAACTTATGTACAATAGATAGATAAATGTAGTTATCTCTGGGACATATCACACTGACTAGATATACATCATTTACCGAAATTTCCACTCTTGACGGGTACGTTAACTGAAAATATTTTCCATTTAACAGTATCCTTTAAAAGAAAGCATTTAGATACTGAGATCAAGAGAACAAAAATATTCCATTTAAATGAGAGCTCAGGTTGTATTGTGATGAAAAACTATGAATTTATTTGTACTTGATAAGAATGATGGGCCAAATTTCTATTTGCACTACAGTTGCTCTATGCCACTCTATCAGTGTAAAGGGGACTTAAAAGGGAGTATGCCTGGCCAGATATGTAAGATTTATGGTGTTCTTAATTAATCCTTTCCTTGCTTTTAAATTCTTAGGTTTGTGAATGGTGTAATAGGTAAATATACTGTTAGTTACTGTACCTTTTAAAATTAAAGTTATTTTTGATTAAATTTTGGAATTCATTAGAGGCAAAGAATGGGCAGGTCAGTTCCACTCCAACTTTAAACAACGTAAGTCAGTTTGTCCTTTGTTCTATAAGTAAAGGATGTTCTTGTTTAATCTTTGAGCATCACATTGATTGTTGTAATACTTTATATACAAATAGCAGCTATCTTTCCTGAACATGAAAAGGATGCCAGTTGGATCTCTGCTGGCACAATTTTTTAAATTAAACTTTGTTTTGAGAAGAAAGACCTCTTCAATCTCTGCATTGGGACTGTGGTTATTATCCACGTGAGTATCTATCTGTTTCGGTAAAGTTTTCAGTGTTTTCCTTCTATTATTTAAAAATGAAAACAAACAAACAAAACTCCTTTTATCCTACATCTAAAATAATAACACTTACTGTTTGCATAGCACTTTATATTTTCAAACAGCTTAATAAACAATGGGCCGTATTAATTCTATGTGTAACTCCACTGTCTTCATTGGAATTGCACCAGATATGCAGTTGAGGTAAAATCCTTGCTTCCTGGAAGTTAATGGGAAAACCTCCCATTGATTTCAGTGGGGCCAGGTCACTCTTGGTCACTTACTGAAATAAGCCTCATACTCCCACTTTGTGTAGCTG